AATTTTTCTTAAGGGTAATATTGTCTTCCTGTGGGAGGGTTTGCGGGCATTGTATTTTCTTGGTTACAGGAGGAAAATATTATCGCTTTCAAAATATGGATGGAGAAGTAATTCAGTTAGGTCAGTCAATTCGGGTCACACTTACCTCCCACGAAGTGGCCCAGTTGGCAGAAATATCTGAACTTATACATTTTATGTTGTATTCAGATCTTAGGACCAGATGGTCCGAAATTTTATATTTTCCCGAAGAAATTGTTAGCAAAGACCACCTTCTTATTTTGGTGGATCGAAAAGATATATATAAACCAGAATTTAACATAATACATTTCGTTACTGAATGTGCCATTATTTACTAATTGATCAGTACACAGTATTTGCGATTTTGAATATGAGTTGTTCAAAGTGTAGTGAAATGGGAAGAAGTGTCGTAGCACGCATTATAATGAGGGCGGTTATTATGATGTTTATGATCTAATTCCAGTTCTGTACTTTACGCATTATATAGCGAAGTGGGAATGGATGTACGAAAGACTAGTTAAGTTTTTGCAGTTAAAATTTATTGAAGTTGATGAATCCTGGCCTTACCATGTATTTCAAAAAAAAAATTAGAAATATGTTACGCAGCACAGATAGGTGGCTCGATAATGATCATTTCTTTTTGGGAGGGTGGAGGCGTCAAGGTTGTTTTGCTCGGGGATGCAAGCTTTGTGAAAGTGAACCACCAGATAGTGATGGGGATGGTTGGACATGAGGAGTAGTATTTCTTTCATCAAAAGATCGTCTTCTGATAGAAAAATTCCATGAACAGTGTTTCCTCATCCTAGTTATGAGCATGAAAATTAACAAGGGATCGTCCTGTCTGAACTGTTTTGCGCGTGAAGAGTCAGATAATTCCAGTTGAAGTTATAAAGTTACAGATATGTGGCAGTCTAGTTGGTTGTGACACCTCTTTTTTTGACAATTGGAAGTTTTTCATTCAATCGATTCCGTTAAGTAGGAAACTGTTCACATATGACATTCCCTTGTAGTTAAAGGTATTTCACTTTCAACACCTGTTATTCATAATTTTGTGAATGATATAAACAAAAAGAATCTATGGTTGTTGGAAATAACTGGACTGATAAGACATTTTCTTTGGATCCAGATCGTATTGACTCACCAATCTTAGTGTGAAGGAAACATACCGTATTTTTTCAATTTAACGCCCTGGCGTTTATTTCAAACATGCTCCGTCCGTTGAAAGCTTCTGTTTGTTCGTGCCTGTTATTTAAAAAAAAGGTTATTATCCCTTTTCCTTGGCTACCGTGCCCTTATATCTCAATCTAAGTACACCACAAATAAGATAACTACTGAAGAGCTAAATTTACAACTTACCTTTTGAGACCCGGCGTTTTAAATCGAAAAAATACGGTAGGTAAGCCAATGTAATGTGCTCATTGATGAATACCGTGTATTTGTTATATTGAATATCAGTTATGGTTTGTCCAGTGAAAAAAAAGAGGAAGTGCTGTAATACGCATTGTAATGATAGAAGTCATTATGATGATTATGATTTAATTGTAGTGCTATACTTTACGTATGTAAACATGCTTAATTTTTGCTAATACGTGTAACTCAAAAACGCGCACGAAGACTCTCATTTTTTATGATTGAATGGTGCTCAGCTTATTAAGAAACGATTTTAAGCAACGAAAATTCAATGATACAAATTGTTCAATGATACAAAGAGCCCAAGATAAAGAGAGAGCATTTGTTTTAGTTATTATCAAATAAGGTAAAGTAAGGTTGCTATTGACAGGTCATATACTAGTAATGATAACAAGAGTTATTCTAGCGTTATTTACTGCAAAGTCTGTGTTATAAAGTCAGTTTTAAAGTTCATCATCAACAGGAAATTGCTTCACTGTTTATTTGTCCGAGATACGGCAACATTGTTCTCCCATTTAAAACTTAAAACTGCCGTTGTCGACCGAGCGTTGTGAAACTTAAACTTAAAACAAACAGGCCTAGCAAAAGTCTGATGATGAACTAGCTGAAACTCGTTGTAAACGGTAATCGTTTATATGGACGCTGGAAATGTAAGCCACTCACAATGGCCATTTAGTCTTTCTTAATAAGTTAAATCTATCCGTTTTACTGTAATAGGAAACAAATTTTGTATTAAATATTTTTGTTTTCGAGTTTATACGTCTATCTGATGTTTTTGTTGTTCATTCAGACCAGTAATAGAGAGCCTAACATGGCCATGTAAGGTTTCTTTCCTTGGGGAAGGGAGGGGGGAGGGGGCATTTTAAGACATTTCATACCAGTTGGTATTTTTAACCAACGCAATACGTTTTATGTGATAACCTTTGTGGGCCATCGATGTAGCTAGGGTGTTTTTGTTTTCCTCTTGAACACTACATAACCGTGCCGCGTGCCTCAAGCCCCTTTAGAGATCCAGAAGTTGAAATCCCCTTTTAAATTCAATCGCAAGAAACGGCTTAATGATGCAAAAACTACTTAAGAACACAATCGTACATCTAATTGGGTAGTCATAAGTTTTTTTCTGGACACTTAAAGCAGCTATTATAAATCTTTATTTTACTTTTTCCTATGGTATATAGTATTGGAAAATAAAGTTTGGTTTGAAAATTCAGCCGAATGCGTGGGGAAATTATCTGATTCTTCATCATAAA